TGTACATTTTTTTTTCCATCTCAATTGTAATCCCCGCGGGTTTCCCATCACCAAGTCACCCATGTGCCATCAAGGCATGGCAATATTTTAAAGGTGGACGGTAGAAGTGTTGCCCAGGGCCCGTGGCTGGTAGAGCCAAGGCTGCAGCCCAGCAGCGGCCTTATCCAGGCAGAGCCCTTTTGGTATCACAGACATCAGCCAAGAGTGGGATCACACAGTGAATTCTACCCTTCTGCAGAGGTCTGTTCCAGGCATTATTCTTAAGAAGGACAGGGGAATATGCTGCTTATTTTAAAGAGGGCTGCTCTTTTAGAACATTTGGGAAGACAGGCAGAAATAGATGTCTGAGTTTTTGAAATGAATCAAATAGTGTTGCATAAAAATTAGAGAATATTTAAACTGAAAGGATCTTAGAGGCTACTTACCTTACTGATCTGACGTTAGAGGCAAACAACCTGAGACCTTGACAGGTTAAGAGAGTCAAGTGTAGTTTAATAAAAGAACACGATGTAGGTCATAATGGTAGAATGCTAGAGCTGGCTTGGTCAGTCAGTTCTTAAGTTTTCAGGAATTTTTGTGAGCCAGTTGCTACATTCATCCATGATTAAAATATATATAGGCTGATAAATTACATTAAGAACAAAAGCATTGTATGTTCAAATGCATCCCCTTAGTATTTATTTTACTATATATTTCTGTTATGTGTGCTCTTGAAATTATTTGTATCTGTGGAGCTGCTTTAGAGTGGGGCCCTGCCCAGCTCTTTGTTTAGAGCAGTGACAGATAACTTGGACATGGCTACAAGGGAAATTTACACCACAAAATTGGCACATGATTTAGCTCAACTCTCCCCAGCCCACCCCTTTATGTTCTGTGTCAGTTGACTGGTAATATCATTCTATCACTGACTGACTTTTGTGCTGTGTATTTGCCTATTAATGTTCGTGGCTTTGATGCAAGACTCTGAATTGCAAAGCTTTATGGAATTGACAGCATTGCTGACATCTAGCAGAATGCTTGGTGTGTAGCTGACAGGTGGTTGTTTGTAGAATGAATGAATGGATGTAAAGTTGGATTTATATTCCTTCTGACCTTGATTCACTTAACCGTTAACATCATTTAGCTAGATATCTGTCCAGTGCATTGTAGGTGTGAAAGTGTAGTCAACATTTATGTTAAAACCTAGAGGTGACATAAATGCTGGGAGTGTCCAGACTTATACTGTGCACAGAGCTTTGTATTAAGTGTCTGACCACAAATTGGATGAGACTCAAGAATGTGGCGCTGTTATTTTTGTGTGTATAGATACTTCTTCTCCTTCCCACACAAAATAATGGGATATATTAGGAGGAATATGATATATATGAGGCAGGAAGCAATCCCTCTGTTGTATTTGGCTTTTTCAGGCTCTTATTACAGTATCATGTCCAGTTTTACAATCCTCAATTTAAAAAGGATGTCAAGAAACTGTATATAGTGTGCCTTGGGAAGAACCAACAACTATGATTAAAGGATAGAAAATAGGTCTTTTGAGGCAAGTTTAAGGAATTGAGTTTATTTTTTCTGGAAAGGCGAGCAAAAGGAGTTACTTAACCACCTTCAAGTGCATGACGGGTTAGTATAAGGAGGATACTCTCGTGTCTTTCTTGAAATGCACAGAGGACCCAAAGAGGAAATCGACTTATTTCATTGAAAGAAAATTGTGTTAAATGCTGAAATTGACTATTGAGAGATGTTATGGAATCTCCATTTTTGAAAATATTTAAAAAGAGCAGCAGCAGATGGCAACTTACTGAAAGGTTTAAATGTTTGACCTCATGAAAATGACAAGCAGGATTGTAGATCTTGCAACTTTTCCAACTCTTAAGATACAATTTTGTATTTATTATAATTTACCAAGCACAATTTATGTATTTAATTGGGAACCATTTATAATTTGATAATATTCTTTTGCTTGCATTTCATCTTAATTGTTGAATTTATTTTGAATGAAAAAATTCAGTATTGTTTGCTAGTAGTGGATTCGAGATCAGTTAGTATATAAAACAGTCTGCATTTGCAGTTTTATACTCTACAAAATATACTTGAACCTTAAGAGAAGACAACATTAATTTGTTACAAGTTGTGCATTACAAATATTCTCTAACTCTTTTTGACAGGGGATCCTTTTGGTATATGATATTACAAATTATCAGAGTTTTGAAAATTTAGAAGACTGGTATACCGTGGTGAAGAAAGTGAGCGAGGAGTCAGAAACTCAGCCACTGGTTGCCTTAGTAGGCAATAAAAGTAAGTTATTCATGCTTGTTATGTATAGTGAAGTTTATGTACCTATCTTATACTTTTAAATTCCTAAAAAAATTGATTTTTGAAACATAAGTTCGGCTTCTCTGGAGTGAACAAATAGTTTGAGCAGAAAACTCCTAAAGACGTGCACATTCATTTCAGTAACAGTTATGATGTGTGATCTACCTTGTAAGTGTTGCTTAGGCCAACTCCTGTTAAGGTAAGTTCTCTTTTGACAGTGTGTGTTTGGCTTGCCGGGGCCTAAGGAAGCAGTGTGGACTATTTAAGAACAGCAACACAGCTGTAGATTTCATGGTATTGCTCTGCAGCTTCAGTTGTGCCCCAGAGACTTTGAGATCCATCTCATTAAATGATCCTGGCACTAGAGAAGGAAGCAGTGTGTCTGTGTGGAACTTTGCCTGTATTGTCCCCATCTCATAAAGTTTTCTGAAGTTTTGATGCCTTTTTCTGAAATACAGATTTTTTTGAGAAAGAATGTAATATATTGGGAGAGGAATAATGTTTGGTAAACATGATGGTGAGTAACTTTTGAGCTCTGTCTATGGGGCTATGGCATATATAACATATAAAAATGGAGACACTGAGTCCAGGACCAGGACTGTTATTTGGTTTATAGTCCTGTAGTGCAGTTACCTGGAAAAGGAGACCTTCATAAAGTGTTTTCAATGTATAAAATATTGTGATATGAGCTAATTTTCTACCACTTATTTGAGGTCAGAAAAAGAGAAAATGAATTCAAATTATACCATGGAGGGTTTAAGTCAGGAACTGTTTCCTGACTGCAAGCGTTAAGTCAATACCCAAGTATACTACCAAGAGAATTATCTTCTCCAAAGGTCTTTAAAAGTCAGTGAATTTTTGGTCTCTAATTATTTAGGAAATGGTACTTCCTGTAGGACCAAAGTGAGATTCCTTCATTATGTAATTTTGCACACTTAGATTTACATTTAATAAATCCTAACTTTACTTTAAAACCTTTACAAAATAGGTATGAATAGTATTTCTCTGAAGAATTCTTGTCTAAAGAGTTAAAATAACAAGTGTTATAATACATTCTATAAAACAGTGTTACATATCCCAAAATGGTTTTTGGTAAAAGATAGTTTTTTAAAAATTTTAGTTAAAATTTACTCATCTGCTTTGTAAATAACTCTGAGTGAGTCAGATGTTTTCCAATTCATTGAAATGCTTTATTTCAAATCGTAAGTTCTGGTGATCTCAGGTACACATTCTTAGTATAGCTTTTTAGCTTATGAAACAATTTCTTACCGTGTTACTGACACATAGGCTTACATTATGGCTTAGTTTGTGCTTAATTGTAAGTTTCCCATCACCTTTTGGGAAATAGTAGAATAGGAAGGGGAAAGGGAAGGGACTTGCTTTTATTTCTCTCAGGCTATAATCTAACCAGCATCTGGAGTAGTGGTGTCCTGGTGTAGAAGTAGATTCGTTATGTTGCGCTTATGCTCTCGTGTAAGGCATCTGTCATGGGTCACTCGCAAGACAGGGTACAGGCTACGTGGGCTGTCGGGCTATGGTGGTGATGCCATCCCTAGGTTTTAGAAACAGACTTTTATGTTGTAAGTTATAGGAATTTAATGCAAAATGGTAATGCAGTGTTATATTTGATTTGAGATTTAATAGCATGAAAGTCAAGAGTTTTTTTCCTTTTGGCTTAGTCTAGTCCCTTAGTTCCTTTCTTTTCTTTTCTTTTTTTTAAATAAGATTTATTTATTTATGCATTCAGTACTGGGCCAGAGGTGTGGGGGGTGAGAGGATTCACCAGAGGCAGAGTGGGGAGCAGAACAGGCAGATTGACAAAGTACACTGCTGAGGGGAGCAGTGGGTGGCCAGGAGAGGTCTGCTGCGCCATGTGGGTCACTCCCTGGCCAGGGATAGAACTTGTGCTGAAGCAGCTGCTGCTAGCTTTGTAGTGCTGTGCTTTACCCCACTGTGCCACCGGGGCGGGCCCATGATCCTTGGCTTGTATATATTTAGAATATATACTCAGAGCAGAATCAATTCCTGTCAGACAGAATGTTATGTATTTAAAATGAAGAGCATATGTATGAATATTTTCCTGGATCTTATTTATGGCATAATCTGTCACTGACCTGATTTCATGTGGTTGTGGAATGCAAGATCTTACAATTTATATTTCTAAATGATATTACATTAATATAGTAGTTTGTAAACATTTTCTTTCTTGGAGATATAAATATGTTAAAAAGCAAAGGAACTAGCAAAGACTTTACATGTTGGTTAAGGATAAAGCAAAACAAAATTATGGGAAGACATCTGAAACTAGATAATTATGTTCATTTCCTACATATAGTCATTGTTTGCCTGAAAGTGATTTTTCTTAATCATATTATGTCCTCCTTTTTGCTACTTAACAGAAAGTAAATATGTAGGGTGTGGAAATAATTGGCAGTAGTAACTGTCTTTTAGCTAAAATTTAGAAAATTTTCATACCATGGTGTATATGTATGAGCATTTGTTATGTTATTAAAAGCTTATAATTGGTAGTTATAAATTTACTTGCTTTGTTTAATTTTTAGAATATAGTACACTCAGAAATTTGGGTTGAAGATTAAGGATACACTTACGTAAAAATGAACTATGGGCTTATTTTGTTTAAGTATAGAGTATGTAGAGTAAGTTACTGAAATGGCCAGTGGAAGGATAGAATAGATGGAATTAGGGGTTAATGAATTACTTTAGTTCTGTATACTTTTAAGTATATTTTATTCTGTGTTGTGTTCAGAGTGGTTATAAAGTACTAGTTTGTACTCTTTGCACTATTTATGATTTTATTTTCTTTTAATATTTTATATATTTTTTACATCATTCTTCATTTTATGCAGTGCATGCCTTATCATCTCGTGTATGGTCCCTAAGAAATTCCCACCATGTGCCATCATCACAGTCCCTTGTGCTCTTCTTACTCTTCCTTTGATCCAGTTTTCTCCTCCCCTCAAAGAACATCTCTGGCTTACAGTTGCCTGTGATTTTGATTTTTCACTTTGTTATAATTACTCCCTCCCCCACCTCCCACAGCCCAATCCTTTATTTGGGTCCCCTAGATTCCACCTATAAGTAAAATCACCCTGAGTTTTTCCTATCCTTTCTGGCTTATTTCACTAAGCATGATCCCTTCCAGCTCCATCCAGGGAAGTACTGAGTTGATTTTTAGACAGAATTTGCTTACAAGCTCTGTTTCTTCACTAACTGGTCATGTGACATCAGAGAGCTTTATGTGTTTAGACTTCAATTTTCTCATCTGGAAATAAGGATAACAGTTTCTGATAAAATTGGTTTAAAGATTAAATGAGATAATGCTTGAAAAGCACTAAGTATGTAGTGTTAAACATACTAGTTGCTCAATAACTATTAATTATTATTTCTATTAATCATAATAGCCTTTGAAAATAACTCACTAGAGCTTCAAGAATTTGCGTGACCACAAGTTACAGACCAGTAGAGATGAACTAGATGTTGTACAGAAGGGGTCTGAAGGAAATAACTTTCAGAGAATTACTGTCACCATTTTACTAGATGTATTTTTTTTTTCTCCTGTATTGATGGTTCTCATACCATGTGTTGGGTAGGGCAGTTCACTCAGCCAGCACTCTCGAGGCCAGCCATGCCTACTCAGCTAGCCTTTGCTAATTTGACAAAGGTTGCTGGGGAGAGTGCTTTAGAATGATTGGAATCTGCCAAGTGAGGTCTTAATTTTATTCATTTTTTCCTCCCATTTTCAGAATTTTTAAATACTTGACTGTCTTTCCTTTGCTGTGGTTGTTGAGATTAATAAGTACAGTTATGACCAAATCTTCATGGAAGGCATTTCTTTCCCTGAGTGAGGTAAAAGTAAGTCCTGACAGTTAACTGTTAAGATGGGGAACAGGGTATGTCATCTCGTTTCTTGTCTTTCAGAGGGTTTTGCTGAGCCTTGATGGTTACTTAGAGCCTCAGCAGGAGTGAGACTTCTGACAGGACACAGACCCAGGCACCTGAGACCGGAAGCAGTTATATCCCCAGCTGCAGTTACCTCTGCACGTCAGGGGCATACACAGGGCCTGGTGCCTGGTGTCCTGGCCCCTGGGCCCTAAGGGCTGCTCCCCCGCCTCAGCGCTCTCCCTTGAATCCAAACTGCATGTCCAGCTTTACCCGCTCTTGGACAAGCTGCTCCTGCCTCCTTCCCACTCTTCTGGGGCACAGTTTCCTTTTTCCCCTCCAAATTTATTACCTAAGGCTTTTCCTTTTGCCAGTGGTTTTTCTTCCAGCCTTTGTTTGACTGGCTTCATCTTGTCCTTGATCTCCTTCTGCAAGTCATCTCCTCAGAGTTGTTTTCCTTGACCGTTCAATCTAAACAAGCCAGGCCATCCCTTTCTGTCAGAGCATGGTGTTTCCGTTGTCTGCATCTGCCTATTGCCATTAGCAGTGTTTCTTACCTGTCTTTTCCCATTAAAGTCTATGCTTTTCGAGAGCCAAGGTCCCCCTCACTTAAGGTAGTCCCTGAATGAATGAATACTGAATGGATAAATAAAAGCCTTTCTGAAAACTGTTGCGATTAGAAGTGTTTATGACCTGACATGTGTTATCCAGGGAAATTGGTTTTCCTAATGAGGAAAAATTCATACGTAGATACAGAGATCTGTTAGCTGGCATACAGGTCTAGTTGGCCTGCCAAATTTCACCTAGTCAATGTTATTGAGAGAGAGCTTTTGGGGGGATACTTCAAAGTTCTAGTGGTATTATGACAATTTGAGATAAATTGTCAACAATTTAGTGTCATGATTTTAGACTAACTATAAATTATTTTGGAATTTTGCTTCCTTTTCCTATCTGTAACTTTTACATACATAATGGTAGAATTCTACTCTTTTGTCCTTTACATGTGAAGTTCCTATTTTTATGTTTAATTTCAAAAACCAATCTCCACTGAAGTATAGGTTTAGTTTTTCTTTCACTGTTTC